TTATTCTCTGCACCCATGGAATATGTCATAGCAAAATGTTAAGGGTCACTGTCACCACCTTGTGGGTGAGACAAGAAGACTAGTTTGATACTTTGATGTACATCAAAAGAATCTGTCCGCGTAACGGTAAAATTCACGGACTTTGAAGTCCGGCGTCGCTCCTCTAGTATCTGCTTGGACAGGTATCAGCCAAGCAATTGGTCAGGTTTGTTAACCCGAGACCAATCAAATAGCTAGCTGCGTGCCTTCAAGTTTGCTATGACATATTTCAGGGGCCCCAGCTGGAGTATTGAGGATGCAAGATATAGGTAGCTATGACTTTTATTTCAAAATAAACATACGGCAGGTTTCATTGTGAACTCTGTAGAAGCCCTGATGCCTTTCCACCATTCATTTTGTTGAAGATAACTAATACTATATTCTGCTGTAGAGATTCTTGTTCACGCAATAACATGAGTGATGATATATGACGATGAAGTTCAAGTTTATTACACAATGTAATCCTTTCTGTAACAGTTAGAACACACAACCTGGTCCCAAAACCATTGGAAATGAAAGAGTCAAAACCTAAAAACTACGAAATCATTGAAACAACATCATTTCCTTTAAGTTTCAGGATAAGATTTGTTTTGGAAAGGTTCCGATATTCTGGAAAATGCACTTGCAGGACAATTTATTCAAGAATTCAATAGATTTTACTGATAGTTTGTGTTTTATTTGCAAAACCTGTTTTCAGGTTATTTTGCAGGAAAAAAAATATAGTCCAGAGCAACAAGATTCTAATATTTTTTGTCATGCATGATCCATTTTGCAGAAATTCAGCACTGATATATGTTACACAGGATATTGTGTTTAAATAAAGCATTATATACAATATAAGCCATATAAATTATAATACTGGTACAAGTGTTCACTCTTGTTTTTATCAAATCTTTTTAAAATTTGCTGTATGTGAATGGTATAATCAAGGGGAGAAAACTCTACAAAAATGTTGACAGAGTTTTGGTCATTAAACAGCATGAATACAATGGGTTAAAAGTTATTTATATTATCAGTTTATTTTGTAAGAAAGCCAGTAAAGATTCAGCAAAGATTTCTGTAGTCTGAACATGTAAAATTCTCAAAATGTGTATAAATCACAATTTTTGTGGCCACTAAATTTGAGAGTTAAAGGATGTGTAATTTCAGACTGGTCATATTGTTAAATCGAATATACAAACAAGCACACTGTTATAACTGTGAAGACTTGTTTCATGATACTTATACTGGCATCAATGCTTTTAAATGTCATAGAAATCTTATGTTTATGTATGTATATATAAAAAGCTTAGCAGAAAACATTTCTAAATACGCTACTCTTGTAAAATATATTTTCACAACCTGCAATTTTGCGACAATAGTTACAACAGTATTTTATATTATAAGACAAATTCTGTCAACAGTAGTACATTCATCTGCATGAAATGCTTTTCAATAAAATTGTTTCAGAAACAGGAAATGATCTGTCCAATTACTAACTATCCATAACTGGAATGTTCTGAACCTATTTATCATTGAGCCTCAAATTAATGTCCCAGACTTTTGTCAATATATATCACAAACATCATGGCACTTCATCTACATAAATAAATAATTTAATAACTTCTCATTTCATATTCGCTGAAACAAATTTAATATATATATATTTACATGCTGTTAATTGAATTTTGATAAGTAGATAAGTCAACAATAAAAGACAACAATTGTCCAATGTCTGTTTGTATAACTAGAGGATACTAATGTCAAACTGTATAGGGAAGTCGAACAGCACAAAACGCAGACAGGCGTCAGCACGGGAATAGATGGACCATTAGATTTCTCGGGGAAGTCAACAGCCCATTCTCTATTTTGCGGGTATTCTACAACAGCTGAGCTCAGGAGTTAAAACTCTGATCTGAGCTCAGTTATTGTATTTTATTTTCCTTGACAATGTTATTAATTAGTGCTAATTGCATAATGAGTCGTGTTGTTGTTTTTCGGTATTCAGCACATTTTACAACGAGTCTAACACATCATCACATACAGATTGAAGGTTCCTGACCAAATGACTAGGTGGCGCAGTTTACACCGTTCGCACAGCTCAACAGTCCTCGTCACAATCTTCCTATTTTGGAGCAAGGACTAAATTCGCAGGTAATTATCAAGAAAAGAGAAATGGTTGCATATCCTTTAAATAGCTGCTTTAGAACTGTTCTCAATCATTCTGCAACAAACTACCTGACAGGATAAGAATCTCATACAATCTTTGACACACCATCTGATTGGGTTAGAATCTTGATCGTTCTACAACAAACCATCTGATTGGGTTAGAAAGTCTGTTCGTCATCACAATCGTCTGTCCAATGGCCGAACACTGCAAGGCAAAAGTAGTACAAGATATGCATAAATACGGCAGTTAAGTACAAACACAGTCTATAGGGCGTCTCCAGCAGTGTAGGTAATACCAGTGATTTATATATCTAAAACAGGGGAAAACTGGATGGATATATATCACCTTGAACTTGCAAGTTTTATATTATGAATTGATTCAAGAACATTTTTGACTTTGAATCTAAATGAACAAAAGTCCATTTATCAAGACAAATTTGCACAGAAAACAATCGCGAAACAAAATATTTGTGAAGTGATATACATTAGTAACAATTTCAAAACAAGTTTTTTACTTTATCACCAAAACGTTTTAAGTTTCTGAATAGTATTTTTAATACTGTTTTTTTTTTTTTTTTAATAAACAGTATGATGACCATCTTTGAAGTTTTAAAAGAAGAAATGGATAATTTTCACTGTAAAATTACTGGCATTAACCTCCTTATTAGTTTCCATGTACAGTACTAGTGTTTCTAGAACTTCAAACCCATGCTGTCAGTGTGAGTGATAATAAATGAACAGTGATATAACCTACCCCCAGCATAATTTTTTCTGCAAATTATCTTTTAATTACTATTTTTTTTCTTACCGGTAATAACTTCTTCTGTTACTTAATCAAACAGATACTGAGGTATGTTTTCTCAAAGAATTCAAATCTTCTCATATAATTAAATTCCCAAATTATTAAATGAAATCACAAATTTAATTGGTCAAAGAAAATATCACGAATTTAGCAAACAGTATCTATTAAAACCTTCCTGATAAAATATAAGGATTCATTCAATGACATGAAATACCATAATCATTATTAATTAACATGAATATAATCTCTATAATGGTAAAATTAAATATATGTAATATGCCATGACATAATGCATAAATGGTCTGTATGTTTTTCTACCATTTCTATTTGCGGATGTGAGCTGAACTGTAACAGGCTAAAAAGAAGGGTAACAATATGGTTGGTCTCTACCCTGTAGATGCACCTTTTAGTTACCGTAGGTTAACAGAAAATCCAGGAGATTATCTAACTTCTAGATTTGTGAAAAGTATATCTTTAAAAGGTACTTGAACTAAGTGTTGATATGGAGATCCTCTGAAAATGCATCAATAATTGTTACTAGGCTCTTCAGACCCCAATATGTCGGTGGTAGGAGTTAGAGGTATATGAAGAATGAGATGGTGATGAAAGGGTAAGTATTGGATGCAGTGACACACCATGCGTTATCATTATCCCGAAAATCACACTTAACAACATGCCTATCGGAAAAACTCAACAGTGGAACTCAACAGAAAGACAGTCATGGAATTACTACGCTGTGCCTGACAACAGTGACGGGACATGTACAGCAATGTTACAAAGTACCTGTCAAAAGTGAGAACTCGACGGAGGGACATTTACAGTTATGTTAAGAAGTACCTGTCAAAAGTGAGAACTAGACAGAGGGACAAGTATAGCAATGTTACAAAGTACCTGTCAAAGATGAGAACTTGACAGAGGGACATTTACAGTTATGTTACAAAGTACCTGTCAAAAGTGAGAACTCGACGGACGGACATTTACAGTTATGTTAAGAAGTACCTGTCAAAAGTGAGAACTAGACAGAGGGACAAGTATAGCAATGTTACAAAGTACCTGTCAAAAGTGAGAACTCAACAGAGGGACGTTTACTGTATTGTTACACATGTACAGCCAGTGCCCAAACTCAACAGCGGGACATTCTGAGTATCAGGGCCTACCACAGCAGCACGCTCCACAGAGGGACACTCAATGCATTTCGTAAACATGAGAGCTCATAAGACGGATGTTAACTCTATTACTACAGAGTGCCTTTAAGCCGTTGTACACTAACACCCATGCCAAGTTATTCCATCAACCATATACAGTGAAACAGTCTACCTATATCTGTGATAAGTCTACAGGGCCATACTCCGTACTGGACTTATTCTCTGCCTGTGATAAATGGGCCGTACTAGGTATTTGACTTATTCAATGTCTGCAGCAAGTCTACAGCACCATACTCAGTCTTGAACTTGTTCTTTATCTGTGGTAAGTCTACAGGACTCATACATGATAAAGGATATATTCTCAGCAGTAAGACTCCAGGGGCCATGTTTTGTACTGGGACTTATACCAAAATTTAACTCTTACTACAAGAAGTCAACTTATGTTTTTTTTTTTAATTTAGCTTGAATTGAAAACATGAACAATTGTCTTTTAGTGTCCTATCCTTCCATTCATTTATTTATGTGTAAGATAAGGTACCAGAATGTATAACTATCAAGCTCAAGTTGTATCAATATTCATTACTCAGTGATAGCCATGTTTTCAAAATGTGATTTATAAATTCAAATGTTTTAAATATATGTACAGAGATTGAGTATTTTTGTGAATATGACTAGAGGGTGTTCATTATGTATTCCATGACATACATATTTGTTTTCAGTTTTAACAATTTTGATTTAGATCGCTAAGTAAATGAACCACATTACAACTGAATAGTGACCTCCACATTTAATGAAGAGTTGCTTATACCTTGTTTCTAGATGATAGTGCTATGGATCACATTATGCTATACTACAGATCTATTTACCTTCACAGATGTCACAGTAGGAGCGCATGTGTTTGCGGTCGCCATGGTGATGGGAGGGCGGAGGTTCCTCAAAGTCCATTGCTTGTAGTGGGCAGTCGTCTGTGTCGTGTTTATCAAACACATCACAAATATCACAGAATAGACGCGGGGGCGCCTTCGCTTTCGGAGTCCTGTAAATTGAAAGAGAATGTACTTATAACAGTTTTCCGACGTAACAGACAGTCAGGAACGGTAACAAAATGAATAAAAATTTAGACAGAAATGTCCTTAGTTATAAGAGCTAAGTGAACAAATGAATGAAAAGGGAAGATCAGAAAATTACTCAATCTATTGTTAGAAATTTGAAGTAATCCTGGTACTCCCAAAATATGGGAAATAGAATCTTTAGTTTGAAAATTGTTTCTTTATGTACCTCTTCGACACCAGACTGAACTCAACTCATTCAGTCTTCTGATCCAGAGGTTACTGTGACCTTGAAATCTGAATCATATATATGTATAGTTTATTCCGAGAAACAGTCAATATACTCACACTTCCACGGAGTTGTTACTGTTGCCGTTGGTTACAACACCACCTTCCATGGTGGCCTCAAGACATATCTTTAACTCAGAATTCTTTTTCTGCAGCTCCACAATGACTGAGTTGAGGAAATCAACCTGTTAATAAAAGATGATGGTTATCACAGTAATGGTACATGTAGCCTTACAGGTCCAGCTTCCTTGCAACATTAAACACTTTTATCAGATTTCTTAGAAAGGAAATAAACTGACTTTACAAACACCTGGTTGTGTCATCGTTTTAACAAAATTGTTAACTCCAGTATTTTGCTTTTTAAAGATTTAACCTTTGTGTTAATCAAAACAACTCTGCCCAGTGTTGGACTTGCCTTTTACTATCAACTTTAATTTAATGGACAGACAGACACAATGCTTTTCAAAACATACCGTTATCTAGCTGAACATAACTTTTTATTCGAGGGATATTTCAGAGTGTTGTCCCCTTATCATGTTGACCATAAAGCATGAAAGGTGAACGTAACCCACAAGTCACCTTTAACCCTTTCACCACTGTAGACCATAATGGACTCGTCCAGATCAATGTATAGTAGAGTCTACTAAAGTTACGTAGGGTTGAAAGGGTTAAAATTTGGCAATAGATACAGAAAGCCAGAAATGAATTACGCTGCATCACACTGCTGTTCATCCTTCTAGGACTAGCTGATGATGCAAGGGGTCCAAAATGTTGAACTTAATTTTGAGATCATGTTTTGAAAGTTCTATCATGTCCACAAGTGTAGCCATGTCGACGATTCATGCTGACTCACCTGTCCTTCAGTGGCTGCCTTCTCCTCCTGGAATTTCGTGGTTAAAGCATCAACTGTAACAAAGCAATAATGAGTACCGGTATTGAAAGTTAAACTGAGGTCTGCCATTTACCTGCTAAAAAGATCTGATGAATAGATACAAGCCCAATCAATGATTACCAAGATCGACAGCACCAGCATAGAAATACAATGCTAATATTTTAGTTTCAAAAATGATTTCTAAAACAATTTTGAGATACATATTAAGATGTTCTATTTCTAAACCAATGAGAGTGCTAGTTCTTTAAACACATGTTTCAGACCTATACATGTGAATGCTATACTGTGTTGACCTTTGACCTATCTGTAACATCAACCCTGTTGACTATTGGAATCTGTGGCTATGTTAGTGACCTCTGACCTTTACACTGTTGCTGACCTACCTGTGACTGCTACACTGTTGTTGACCTTTGACCTTTTTGTAACATCATCACTGTTGACTTTGTAATCTGTGGCTATGTTAGTGATCTCTGACCTCTGAACTTTACTGTTGCTGACCTACCTGTGACTGCTACACTGTTGTTGACCTTTGCCCTATCTGTAACATCCTCACTGTTGACTTTGTAATCTGTGGCTGTGTTAGTGATCTCTGACCTGTGACCTTTACACTGTTGCTGACCTACCTGAGACTGGTACGCTGTTAGCCTTAGCTTGAGCGACTGCATTCTTTGCCTCGTTGGCTGCGGCTTTAGCCTCTGCCTTGGCGTCCTTCACAGCTTGCTCCAGACTCCTGACCACATCCCGGAGCTCCGACCTCTCTTCCTCCAGGCTTGCCACTGATGACCGATACACTTCCAGTGAGGAATTCTCATTCTTCAGGTTTGCAATCTATTCAAGCAACAATTAGGCATGCAACAGTTACTTTGAAGTAGATATTTTAATCCCATGAATTCGTATACAATATTATTAAAGAAGTGGTCCACTGTACACCCATATCCAAAAGTATAAGAAATAATACAAACAAATATTTTGATAGTATTTACTTTTGAAGTCTATGACAAAACTCGATAAAATCCTGCACTCAATCATTTTACCGCTATATGCATCGTATCGTGATCATGAGGTATGCATATCATTGCAGCCCAAGAAGTCACCATGCAAACCTGGACAGTAGAATCACATATCAGTAGGCCTGTGGTAGTTACCTGTATCTGGTAGGCCTGTGGTAGTTACCTGTATCTGGTAGGCCTGTGGTAGTTACCTGTGTCTGGTAGGCCTGTGGTAGTTACCTGTATCTGGTAGGTCTGTGATAGTTACCTGTATCTGGTAGGCCTGTGGTAGTTACCTGTATCTGGTAGGCCTGTGATAGTTACCTGTATCTGGTAGGCCTGTGGTAGTTACCTGTATCTGGTAGGCCTGTGATAGTTACCTGTGTCTGGTAGGCCTGTAGTAGTTACCTGTATCTGGTGGGCCTGTGGTAGTTACCTGTATCTGGTAGGCCTGTGATAGTTACCTGTTTCTGGTAGGTCTGTGGTAGTTACCTGTGTCTGGTAGGCCTGTGGTAGTTACCTGTATCTGATAGGCTTGTAATAGTTACCTGTGTCTGGTAGGCCTGTAATAGTTACCCGTGTCTGGTAGGCCTGTAGTAGTTACCTGTATCTGGTAGGCCTGTGATAGTTACCTGTGTCTGGTAGGCTTGTAATAGTTACCTGTGTCTGGTAGGCCTGTGGTAGTTACCTGTGTCTGGTAGGTCGGTGATAGTTACCTGTATCTGGTAGGCCTGTGGTAGTTACCTGTATCTGTTAGGCCTGTGGTAGTTACCTGTATCTGGTAGGTCTGAGATAGTTACCTGTATCTGGTAGGCCTGTGTTAGTTACCTGTGTCTGGTAGGCCTGTGATAGTTACCTGTGTCTGGTAGGTCTGTGATAGTTACCTGTGTCTGGTAGGCCTGTAATAGTTACCTGTATCTGGTAGGTCTGAGATAGTTACCTGTGTCTGGTAGGCCTGTGGTAGTTACCTGTATCTGGTAGGCCAGTGGTAGTTACCTTTGTCTGGTAGGTCTGTGATAGTAACCTGTATCTGGTAGGCCTGTGGTAGTTACCTGTTTCTGGTAGGCCTGTGTTAGTTACCTGTGTCTGGTAGGCCTGTGGTAGTTACCTGTATCTGGTAGGCCTATGATATTACCTGTATCTGGTAGGCCTGTGATAGTTACCTGTTTCTGGTAGGCCTGTGATAGTTACCTGTTTCTGGTAGGCCTATGATATTACCTGTATCTGGTAGGCCTGTGATAGTTACCTGTTTCTGGTAGGCCTGTGATAGTTACCTGTTTCTGGTAGGTCGGTGATAGTTACCTGTTTCTCGTAGGTTGGTGATTGTTACCTGTGTCTGGTAGGCCTGTGGTAGTTACCTGTATCTGGTAGGCCTGTGATAGTTACCTGTATCTGGTAGGCCTGTGATAGTTACCTGTTTCTGGTAGGCCTATGATATTACCTGTATCTGGTAGGCCTGTGATAGTTACCTGTTTCTGGTAGGCCTGTGATAGTTACCTGTTTCTGGTAGGCCTATGATATTACCTGTATCTGGTAGGCCTGTGATAGTTACCTGTTTCTGGTAGGCCTGTGATAGTTACCTGTTTCTGGTAGGCCTATGATATTACCTGTATCTGGTAGGCCTGTGATAGTTACCTGTTTCTGGTAGGCCTGTGATAGTTACCTGTTTCTGGTAGGTCGGTGATAGTTACCTGTTTCTCGTAGGTTGGTGATTGTTACCTGTGTCTGGTAGGCCTGTGGTAGTTACCTGTATCTGGTAGGCCTGTGGTAGTTACCTGTATCTGGTAGGTCTGAGATAGTTACCTGTATCTGGTAGGCCTGTGTTAGTTACCTGTGTCTGGTAGGCCTGTGATAGTTACCTGTGTCTGGTAGGTCTGTGGTAGTTACCTGTATCTGGTAGGCCTGTGGTAGTTACCTGTATCTGGTAGGCCTGTAGTAGTTACCTGTGTCTGGTAGGTCGGTGATAGTTACCTGTGTCTGGTAGGCCTGTGGTAGTTACCTGTATCTGGTAGGCCTGTGGTAGTTACCTGTTTCTGGTAGGCCTGGGATAGTTACCTGTTTCTCGTAAGCCTCCACCTCCTCCACCTTCTGGTTTAACAGCTGAGAGGAGTTATCGAGATCCGTCTGTAGACTTGTCTTGGCTGCATCATGTTTCTCCAGCTCCTTACTAAATCTGTAGACAGACATACCGTACTATAAGTAACACCTCAAACATATCCTACATTAAGCTAGCAGTGAAATAATCTGACAATTTTTTTCTTAAATCTGTCTCAGTCATAGTTTTCATTAGCACCTTTTGATAATATTTTAAAGTAAATGTACCAGGAAACTTTATTCAACGAAAAGAATGTTTGAATTACTTAAGACCATCCATTGTGGTGGTATATAAGTGTATACTTGTTGGTTGTATTTCCTACTGTAGAGCGAGATTACGTAACGGACACTAATTATAACTACCCATCACAAAGGATGGTCCACATTTAAAATGACAAATATACATGTATTTTCAGTAACAAGTAGTATAGGGTGATAACATGTATTAATCAACTGCCAGTGTGGTTACCTATCGGTATGTTTACTGTCAGGGTCTATACTACGATGTACCCTTTCCTATGTGTCCCAGCTCCAAAAATATGTTTAAACCAAACAATACATGTAGAAATCCTAATGATGATAAAAAAACAACAACAGCTAAGACCCATATGAACACATTCTACTTGATGTCCTTTCTTTAGCCTGACAACCAGGCATCATTAAACCATACTGTTTACAGATGCTATCTGGTGCTCTAGGGACCAGGGACCTGTTTTTTTTCTTTGTTGATACCATATAACATCAATGATATTAGAAGGGTCAAAAGTTCATTTATATTCAAGATAGTTGTGGTGTGATGCATTACCTACGATTTTTTTGTATTTATTTTTGTATAAAATGCATAAAAATGTGTATATACATGTAAAAAGTAGTGAAATATTGCATTATGCATACTTGAGTTTTATTGCGGATCAGAATTATGTGTTATAGTAAAAGAATAAATGTTGTCATTCCAGGAAATCATACAAGAGTATATAAGTTTTGTGATACATCAATAAGTGTTAAATCATGAATCGCTATACTTATACTAGTGTATGTATATGTTAAATTTTACCCCGAGAGCAATACTGTTCCTTCCAAAGTAGAATTGATATAAAAAAATACATTTCCACGGAGATACAAATCATATGTTTACTCAAATACTGAATCATGTTATCGTTAATCCTGTACTCCATATCCAGTTAAATATGCAACAGTAAAGGACATCCATTAAAAACTTGACAGATACCCTATCATAACTTATTTCCTTACAGCAATCTTTGATATAATGCCCTTTGTTCTATATTCCACCTCACTAAGTGCTAACATGTTTCAAAGTCTCCTTTTCCTGTTTTTGTTTTCTCACTAAGTGCTAACATGTTTCAAAGTCTCCTTTTCCTGTTTTTGTTTCCTTTTTTGGACTTCTCAATGTATAGTGCCAAACCTCTTTTTGCGTGAACATTTTGATGGCCAAATGATTGTATTACAATTTTTTTTTATGTATTTATGCATAGAAATAAGGCATATCTGTTCATTACTGGTGTATTTGAATTACACATAACGCTGACCAAAAATATCTGATAAATAAGTAGATTAAAGAAACCTATTCTATTCATTTGATAAATTATGAACCTGTTGTTAGAAATATTGATTAAAGACACCACAGCAAAGGACATGCATATAAACTTTGAATAACTAGTTCATCAAATAGCAAAATAATATTAAATAACTGATGATTGCTGAATTATTAATACTTGTACACAGATCACAAGTTACTCTGGAAATCAGCTCTTACCATACCTGGTCAAATCTTCTAGGTCCAGTTGTTCAAACCTTATAAGCTCCAGGAGTTTTTTACATAATTTTTAAAAAGGTATTTTTTAGCACCATCTTAAAATTTAAGATGGTTTTTATATTTCTTGTCTATGCATGATCTTTTTTGATACATATATATGCAAGTGTAATTCTGTGTTAAAGTTTATAAGATAAAAAGATTTGCATTTACTTTAAACTAACGAGACTTTGACCAACTGGAGCTAAATCTATCAAAACCTTAGTCTTTGATTTTACTATGCTTAAATAATTGCACATGTTTATAAAGTTGATAATCATATTGTACAACAGAATAGTGTTTCTCATTCTTTTATATGGAAAGGATCCACATTCATCCAAGAAATAAATGACAAAATTAAATCTAGTACAAGGAGTAGTCTCATGCAACAAAGGTCACTGATGAAATCATTTGAAAGGAAATACAGCAATAAGTTAGTTTCTGTATGGATTAAATATTAAGTTACATAAAATTATTCAGGTAGGTATAAACCAAGGAGGAAGTATAATACGTAATGTTTCTAACACTTGGACCTAGGCAATTTAAAAAGACATGCTGAAAAATAAAAATAAAAATAAATAACTATAACATTGATGCATAAATGATAAACAAAAACTGACTTTTTTCTTTAAATTAATGAACAAAAAGTGACGCAGGCAGAGAAACAATCATACAATACATAACGTGATCGTGTCTTACCCGCAATGGTAGGGAGAGATGATGATCCGAGGAGATAGAACAAACAGAAAAACAACTATGAATGCAGTGGAATACTTAGTACTAAGCATCTGTCCTGTGTGCTAAACACACAAACCTGTGAAACGTTAGCCATACTAATTAGCTCTCCGCAAACAGCAAAGCTAGTATTTCAATTTAGTTGTAAGGACTGAACACTGTATACAGGACTATTTTTCATTACAGGGTGAATCTGTAAACTCAATACACAATGAGAATTTCTGATCAAACAACACTGCAGATCTAACATATCTTGAAAATCTGAAGTTTAGAAATGCACCCATTTGCTTTTTCTCACAAAGAATAATGTACAGTTGCGGTCTATAAATATATTCCTTTGACATGTGGATCCAGCAGAATGACATTTTAATTACTGCAGGAATTAAACTTGGAGACAGACTATTGTTTGGTCTATTCCTGATATGGAAAAAGTCAGGTGCGAGTGCATAAATTGTCGTTTAAAACTTAAAATGATGTTGTCAAGTAAGATGGAACAACAAATATTGGTTGACGGGAGCAAGAAAAGTCCATTAATTTTTTCTACTTTTTTGTTTTCAATAATTTTTTGATAATGGTGGGCTAACAACACACCTATACCCTGCATAATATACACACAAGCCAATGATCTCTCCGACTATACACTATTGAATTTGGACCTTACACATCCGTCTCCGACAGATAGCAGTGAACATGAGGTGACAGGTTTATCCCAGCACCCTAGTTGTTTTTTATACAGACGTATTACTACACAGTTAATAAGTACTGCTGTCACCAAGGTCACAGACAAGTACAGTGTAAATTTGTTAGTATATATAGTCTCTTATACAGTGTAAGTAAAACTATGTTTATTGAGGAAAAATCTCTAAAAAGTCTGTGGTGATCCACATTGAAACAGAGAGTACAGAACGTTATTTTATAGTTAAAGTTCCCAGATGAGAATATTTTATATTTTTAGAAGGAAAACTGACGTAATGGATGTTCTTGTTCTGGATCAACTGCTGGAAAAGTTTTTTTTTGCAGCAGCTTTGATCAATTTTGGAGAAAATAAATATGAAAAAAACTTTTCGGAAGTGTTTAAATTGACAAAGTAACATTGTAGCCCTGTATTAAGTATAAGGAATATACTGTTAGGACACCTAATTGTATGTCGGATGCCTTAAAAATCGGTCTTCAATTCTTTTAAAATCTACTTTCTACATAGATTTCATGAAAGTCTTCGTTTCTTTAGAAATCTTTCTTCAGCTAGAGGTTTCATGAAATCAAGAAGACATGGATAGATTGATCAACAGCCTATGTATCCCCATCTAAACTGACCGATACCTTGTATTTTCTTCTTCACAAATTTCCAATACTTCTTTCGTTTCAACATAAGTTCCTCTCAATCAGTTAAAAAATATGTCAGTAGAGTCAGTAGATTTTTTATATATCAAATAATATGAAACATACGTCATCAAACAATAAACAACAAACTTTCTGCAAAGTAACTCTTGATGATTAAAAGACTTGTTATGACACATGTACTAACTAAAAGTGAAACGGTATTAGGGTGAGTTTGGAACTTGTATTGTCATATGTTTTATATGTAAATATGAATCCAGACATGTTTTATGAACTACCTACCATTCACATGTATTTCTACAGGACTGCAGGACTTGTAAAGTCCCACAGCCTTGTAAGGTGTCCTTTGGAGCAACTTTTGGGAGCAAGACATGTAACTTTAGTGCATATTTACAGAGAACAGTGTGTCATTTTTCACATCACCTTAACATATAGGTAGCATAAAAAAGTGACACAAAAACTGTGTACTTGCGGCATACCTATATAACGACATAAATATTGTTTCTCATTCCTGTGCATGACCGATATCACTGTCCAGGACAAGAATGGGGTGTACGAGATGATATATTCATTACATCTCATTTCATGACAAGAAATCACAAATGAAAAACAATTTGGCGATGTCATGAAAATCAGAAGATTCTGATGCCATGATATGGAAACTGCAGATGTGATGAAATCGAAAGCGTAATAAAATTGATTTATCAACCATTTAAATAAGAGTTATTAGATTGATTTTTCTACATAAACTAGATTTAGTGAAATGGGGTATGTTGAACCTGAAAGAAATGTTTCAGTCCAAAAATCTCAGAAAAACAAGAGGCCCAATGGGCCTGCATCGCTCACCTGGTATAAAACTCACACTTGTAACCTTAAAAGTGATCTAAAATAAAGCTACAGGCAAAATGTCAGTATTTATGATTAAAATTCGTTCAAAAGACCCTGTTATTTTTTTTAAAAAACATTTCACCCCTGTGATTGAAAGTCGAACAAAGTCATTATGTTGAACACATTGTATAGCCTTTCATCTCAGGATGCAACTTGCAAAGTATAAACATCCTGGGACCCATGGTTATTCATAAGAGGTTGTTTAAAGATTTTAAACAAATTTGACCCCTGTGACCTTGAATATAAGTCAAAGTCATTCACTTTAACAAACATAGTAGTCCTTGATCCCAGCATATGCTACTAACTAAATATCA